CAGAAAATGCAAAAGAAAAGTTCATTTATTTTTATTATTTATATATTTCAGTTCATTCAAAGAAAAGTAAATGGCTGGTAATGGTAAATGATTTGAACTTATATAGCATTTTATCAAGTCCCTACAGACTCAAAAGGGCTTTAAACTTTAATCATTCACACATTCATACACATATAAACACTGTTAATAATAAAGAAAAAATTGTAAAATGTGTGTAATTAGTTGTACGATTCATATTTTTATCCCTCAAAAGACACAAATAATGATTCAGTTTAGCCTTAATCTGCATTCACCTACAAAAACTTGAAACTGTATCCCTTTATTTCTCAGGTATTTAACACATTAGTAAAACACAACCTCTTAAATGTGACATTCACCTCTAAGATTTTTAAAGTGTCTAATGTTGCTTCTCTTAATTACTTTTTTAATCCAGCAAATAATCTCTGTTCATGCGAGACAGAGGCATTACTCCTGAGTCACCACAACTCGTTCTTTTTATGTCTTCCTGTGAAATGTCTTTGTGCTCAATTTGGACGTGACATCTTTCAGAGAAAATGTCTCTCAGATGACACATTTCACCAACCTCTGAGGTGTGACTCTTCCAGAGAGATAAACAGACACATAAAAATATTTATACCTAATATATGTTCACCAAAATGCAATGGATCATGTTTTTGCCTGTTTCTCTGTGTCCTTTAGGAAATCCTAAGCCTTTATTCACATCAGCATCCATAAAATAATCCATAGATAATACAAAAGACAATTTGTGTCAGTGTGTTTAGTTTTCCTAAGTCAACAAACGATGATAGAAAGGAAAGACGAGAGGAGGTGGAGGAAGTGTTTGTGTCACATGCTAACACCCCTTCATGTGTATAATACACATTTAAATACATTTTGACTGATTATTTAGGTAGACAGGAATACTAAAGTTACATGAACTGAGAGAGGGAGGTCAGGGAAGTTTATTCAAGGCCACGTCAGGCTGCTCAGTACAAACATGGCAGCGATCCAAACCATGTGAAGCACATTTACTCCTCCAGTTTCCTGATTCCTGCTGTTACTGACTCATCCAGTGTCTTTCAACTCTGAAAGGAAATTGAAACATTCTGAGTAGGCATTTCCTGTCATATCTTTTGGAAACTGTTCGATTCAAAGTCTGTGTTTCTTGTCAAAAAGTTATCTGCATAAAAAGAAAGCTAAAAATCCAGTCTCTTTTGTTTTAAAGGCAGAAACATTTCTGCAGTTATATTTACTATATGTAAACATTCATTTAAAATAAATTGGTGAGGTTTTTTTTTTAATTAGTCAGTTTTTGCTGCTTGTGGTGAGACAGACGTTGCCACAACATATCAGACAAACAAAGAATGTGATGACTCTGTCATGTGGTCTGACTCACGCTGGTTTAATTCATGCTTCCTGTTTGGGATAAAAAAAATTTTTACTATTCTCTACAATTTGAGGTGATTTTTTTCTTTTCTTGGGTATATTTTAGAGACAAATACTGGTAAGAAGAAGTGTACAATTATAACATATCAGCCTTAAGGTGAAGTAAAGTCTGAAAAGGGGGAAAAAATGCTCAGCAAAGCATCATGGAGTCGCCCTCTGTGAGAGGATCACTTTATTTATGCTTTAAGACTCAGCGTTTAGAAAAAAAAAAAGCTTTATTTTGGCTACAACTCTCTAAAAACTTTCCCGAGATGTTAGATAGCGCTGCCGGTGTTTGGTGCTGTTAAAATCATAGTTTTTGCATTCCTTAAAAGAAGGCACGTCTCCCATTCTACTTCATGTTAAACTAACATTGTTTTATACCAAGCAGAGAATGTGATAAAGCCAAACATTAAAGAACACTAAAGAAAATGCAGTGTGAATGCTTGATGCTGAAAGATTTTTGCTGGATAGCCAAAAAAGCTGAAACTACAATAACTAAAATTAGCACAAAGAAACAGAAAAAGCACAAAGCTGAAATTATCACAAAAATTGAATTTAGCTGAAAAAAGCTCGATTATCTAAATAATAACTAAAAACTCAAAAACAGCTGAACTTAGCATAAAACAACTAAAAGAAGCATATAAATCTTAAAATACCAGAAAGAATTTAATTCAATTTATTTATATAAGCATCAAGTCACAACAAAAATCAAAAAGCACTAAAAAGTTTTAATTAGCATGAAGAATAGTAGAAAAGATTACAATGT